GGTCAGAGATGGCGGTCATCCACCGCCTCGGCCGACTTGTTCACATCTCTCACCTCTCTGCGATGCCTGAGTAAATTGATTGGAGGGTGCGGAACAGCTATATTGCGTAATTATCCCATACAACCATAGGGCAATGCGGGAGCTGGACAACTGCGGGCGAGCCTTCAGGTGACAGAAATATCGTCAACTTTGTTGCGGCCGGGTGCGACATGATCTTTTTGTGGATCCAAGTTGATCAGGTAAGGTCGGTAAGAGGTAAGGTACCTTACCTGACCTGCCTACTTCGTGCCGCACTTCGCAAGTGTCGCCGCAATCATCACTACCTGCAACTGCCGGAGTAGGAGCGAGGAACGGCGACGCAGCGAGCACGACGGCAACCTGCGCATGTCTGGGGCCAAACCCGACACGACATGGGCGGCGGGGCTGAAAATGACAAAAGGACGTAACCTTCGCGTTCCGTTGTAAAAGTTGAAACGACGGCAAGTCATCTGCAGTGCAACCAAGATGGTCATGTTTGTGACAGGGACCATGGTGTTGAAAGCAGCTCGGTGACTAAAGGATTATGTACGGTTGGATAACCGCCACGCATTCCGGGATCTGGTGTGTGTATGTGTATGAGGTGGACGAGTTTGGTATCTTGTTTATTGTTTTCTTTTGTGCGTGTGTGTGTTGTTTTTGATGTCCACACTCAAAACACAGGCCAGCAGGTGGCCCACAACCAGGCCATGCCCCCCATGCCCCCCATGCCCATGCCACCTCGTCGCCATGGTCAAGGTACGGATACAATCACATCACACCTCGCCTGGCCAGGCCGCCGGGTCGGGGGTGAGCGTCGGCACCACGCGGCTCCTCCTGGTCAACGTGACAATTTTGGAGGTGTCTTGGTTCTACGAGAGATCGGCCGCGGTAGAAACGGCAGCAACACGATTACACAAGGCAAGATATATGAGATTTTGTGGGTACACAGGGATCGGAGAGAGACAATCAATCAGTGAGAGAAGGAAACTGAGAGATTAAGAATGAGTCTCAACGGCGAACAGACCAAACCAAACCAGCCCCAGTCCGGGACTTTAGACGAAAGGTGCCGAGGAACAGCGCGCAGACAGCAGAGCACTCCGCTCGTGGTGCCGACACTGGAGCCTTCAGATGGAACTCCATGTGAAGGAGGTACCATCGTCTACGAAAGCCGTCCTCCATCGTCGCAGGAGTCGGTCGTTGGAGAGGAGGAGGGGCAGCAGCAGTCAAAGGATGCTGAAGCTGGCTGCTGGCCTGTCGTCTGCCCAGACTCCAAGACTCTTCCTTGCGGATGCGCGGCGCCTAGGCGAAAAGACGGGCTCGAAATGCCGGTGCTTACGACTTGGACTTGCATCTATGGACTGGCGCCAACAATGGAACAGACCATCAAGCAGGTGGCCGGTAAATGGGTAAGGTTGGATACTTACGCCCAATGGATAGGAAAGCCGAGCAACAAATTATAAGAGGGAAAGGAAAAACAGCGAGAACAATGAGCACGGCCACGGGCGCTGACCTGGTACATGTGTTTCTCTCTCTGTATGTGTGCCGCCGTCTTTGTTTCTGTGTCAGTGAATGTCTTTGGATGAGGCAAGTCAACGTTGACGGGGGTTGAGGAACACATGCGGATGGCCATGGGGCTGGCTGGCTGAGAGCGGGGTGTGGACCAACGACTGACTGACGACAGTGACACGAGGGCGAGAACAGGACAAGTGGAAATTGCAAGCTCGACACAGGCGCCTGTATCTGTAGGCATTGTCGATTTGATACATGTGAGTTGCTGCAGGTGTCAGAAGCGAAGCGAGCGTGGCTGATGCTGTACCAACGTTGTGCGGCTTTTCAGCAGCCATTGACGGCCGTGAAAGCGCACAAGCTGAGCATGTAACTGATTAGACAGCAGGATGCCCATGCCTCAGCGCATGTGGCAGACGTGATACGGCGATGCCGCCGCGCTAACACTGGTAGGCTCGCTGAAAAGCGCACCCGAATGCAGCGCGTTTCTGAGAGTCAAGAGGCTAGTTTACCCCGGGCTCCCAGGCATGGCCCCTGTCCTATAAGTCTGTCATCGAAAGAGGCGAGAGACAAGCAAGGACAGTCCAGGCAGATGCTGTCCGGTTTCTGCAACTTGGGGTCTTGGCCGTACATAGCATGTACGATTACAGTGCGCGTCTCGGTGCGGAACCTGGGGAGGCAAGCGGGCAAGCGGGCAAGCCGCATACATACATGTAGGATCAGACGATGTGGATACTTGTATACTATATACGTTGAAGGCGACGGGTTGCGGCTGGGCTTCGGGGCTGGTCTGGGTGGTTGAGATAACAGGTCTCAGCCGATCCGCGCTAGGGCGATCGATTTCCTCCGGGGGTTGAGTCTGGCAAGTGGTGGTGGTTTTCAAATTTCAGGCCTTCTCCCCTCGCAGGGCGGGCGGGTTTCCCAGGATGGATGGCATGAAGGACAGACCAGGGGCCCTGAGGCGCCAGTGGGCTTGCTAAGCATCGAAATGGCAAGGTAGCTTGGCCCCAGTGGGCGGGTGGGTAGAGCTGGTCCGTTTTAGGTTGTTTTGAGAGGAGAGGCGGGGTGGATGATATCTGGGCAGCAGCGAGCAAGAAGAAAAACAAAAGAAGCAATGACGAAAGGGAGACAGGCCTCAGGTAGAAGAGAGTCAGAAAGATGAAAAAGTGGGTGTTGGAGCACGGTTGATAGATTGAGTGACTGACACAGACATGGGGGACTGGATGAAGAAGAAAGGGATAAGACGTTTGCCTCGTGGGTTCGTCTTGTCGATGAAGCTACCTTGGAAACCTTACCTACGGTACTTGGTAGTAATGCAAAGGGCAAGATTCTAGATGACGGAACAAGACGAAGCTAGCGGGTTGAAGATGGCTGGCACACACGAGTATCAAGTACTGGGTTGCTAGGTTTGTACATGGTATGGCGGGCACTGGCATTGATTGCCATTGCCTCACCATGTGTGCCGATTGTAGTAGAAGGTGAGGTATCTTTCTACCTAGGTAGGTAGAGAACAAAGAAGAGCAGGGGAAGAGAAGCAGCGGTCCGTTGCAGCAGGAAGCCGACGGACTGGAAGGACCGCCGGGGAATTGCCTTTTCTTGTCCAAGGGCATGTGTATCGTAGCAGTCAGTGATTTGCAGAGGGTGGAAAGTGTGTTGCTTAGTATCGGTGTTATTGCCATCGCGGTGAGTGACTAGAGCAGGTCGGTAATAAAAACGAAGAAGAAAAAGTAAGGAAGACCTGGCGACGACGGTGCACCGGCTGGGTTGGGTTGGGTTGGTGGTGTGTGTGTGGTGGTGCCCGTGTTGGTGTTGGTGTCGGTTGTGGTCTCTTCCTCAGGTGCTATGGAAGGTCCAGGTACCTACCTAGGTACCTACCTAAGGTATGGAAGGACCTACCTTAGGTACCTTAGGTAGGTAGGTAAGGTGAGGTAATGTCGGGCGGGGTTTGTTATTGGGCTTTCAGCAGGGAGCCGCCAGCTCAGGTCCCCGGGGTCCCTGACTGGCGCTGTCCACTCACTGAGTGTGTGCGGACGGCCTCTCACTGGCCGGCATGCCACAGGAGTCATCTCCTGCGCTCCAGCCAGACTCCACTCCCCGTATGCATCCCATCTGCAGAGCTGGGTCTCCTCCATGCTGCTGCATGCCTTGCATGGTATCAGAAGTAAGCAAGCAAGCAAGCAAGCAAGCAAGCAAGGTACGGACGGCAGAGATGAAAGCCCCAAAGACCTTCTAGTGTAGACACGAACACGCCCCGAAGTGCTTCCCAAATCCCCGATTGCATTCTGTGCACCTATTCCCTTCCGGGACAACGGCCCTGTCGCTCAGCTCCTCAGCTTTCTCCTTCAGCTCTCTCTTTCTCTCTGACTCTCATTCCCGTTCATTCTCTCTCTCTTTCTCGCGCCCGCCCACTCCCTCTCTCTCTCGCCTCTAGTTTCGATACTGCGGCTCGTTGACTCCAGTGTTCAGAGTCTGCCTGCGTCTGCGTCTTCTTCTTCTTTTTCTCCCACCCATCCCCGTCCGAGCAAGAAGAGCCTGGGAGATCCCACAGACTCTCGAGCACTTGGACTGTGGACTTGGACTTGGACTTGGACCGGGGCCAAGGGCCAGGACGTGGACCTTGCTTGAACGACCGGGACCTGAAGCTGATCCTGGACCTCCATCCGAACGAGAGCGAACGATCCTCGCCTCCGCCCGTCCTCCGTCCTCCCACACGACCTACGGCCATTGGCAATTCCCACAACACACACCCACCCACCCACCCACTGACCTTGACCCTCTTCTTACCTCACTTTACCTACCTTGACTACCTACCTACGTACCTTACGTCGTCGGTAGCCCACTTACGCGCTTCCTCTCCTCTTCCCACCGCGTTTGCTTGCTTGCTTGCTTTCTTTTCGACTTCTATTCTGGTCCGATCTTGATCTTGTCTTCTGGAAAGGGGGAGGAAACCCGGGATACCATTGCCATTGCTTCGACGACCACCACGACGACAACGACTCCGACTTCCATTTTCGACTTCTGCACCATCCGAGAGCCCTCTCTGCTAGACGTCTGTGTGTGCCCGCCGTTGGCCTGTTGATCCTTCATCCCGTCTTGCTTGTTCTCGTCACCTACCTACGTGCGCCCTCACTCTCACTCGCCCTCTCTCAACCTCTATCGGCCTGCATTTTGCTTGTCTCACGTCAACTCTTTCTCGCTGTTTTGCACCCTTTCTCCCGCTTCGCCTTTGTCTTTCTCACCCGCCAACGTCGCGACCGCCGCTCGCCCCCCCCTCCTCCTCCCCCCCCAAGAATCGAATCCACAACACCAAGACCCGGCGCTCATTCCTCACCAACCCCAACCCGAGAGATTGGCCCATATGTCTTGACGATGCTTACCACGTCCCTCGAGAGCACCTTCGACTCCTCCGCCCGCATGCCCGTCTCCGGCCTTGCTCCTTGGTTCTCCCAGTAGTAGATTGACAACGTACTGCAAATATGCAGACCGTTCCCAGTGTAAGTTGCCTGCTTGCCGTACCGTCTCAGTCCACCCTCCCAGTGTCCTTCCTATATCCCGCATGCCGTATCCCGTATCCTATATCCGTACAGGCATCCCCCCAACTCTTGCCTCGACGCTACACTGCGATATTTCCCTCTCAATCCGACACACGACCAGTCTACGGGGGCTTCCTCATTTCCCACAGCCCGTCATCCCCATCACCGTCCCCTCACAAGACTCCCCTGACTTTCTGTTCGCCTGCCTATTCTCAATCCGTCCCGCTGACTCGACGCGCCCATCGTTAGCTCGTAGGCACTGGCACTGCGGTTGCTGGAGCGGCACTCGGTCTGGTTTTTGCTCATCCAGATGATACGAGTTCCACCCAGCCTTTTTCCACATACAGGAGGAAACAAGCCTCAGACCAAGACATTCCTCCGAATCAACCATTGAGCAGCGCCGCCCCTGTCTCATCTCGTCCCGGCACCAGTTCTCTCGCCCAGCCGCCGGCACCAGACGAACGCTTCGGCACTCTTTCCCCCAACTTCTCCTTCGCCTCTAAACCGAACGAAACCTCGTCGCGTCCCAGTCGCCCGCTGAGCCAGCACTTCAACTTTCCGCCCTCGTTCCTGCATAGCAGAAGGGCCTCTCTTGTGCAGGGCGACCCAGCTTCGCCTACCCTGGCCGAGGACTCGAGAGAATCCGTTTCGTCCAACGGCTCGTGGATGAGGCGACTGTCTCTGCGACCATTGTCACAGCACGGAAGCATTCGGTCAAGCCTTGGTTTTGACAACCAGTCGGTTGCCTTCTCAAACACCTCGGCCGCTCCGATTCTCTCTCCTACCGGTTCGATTCCCTCGCAGCTGCCACCCAATAAACTCGTCAAGCGGCCGCCCTCAGCGCACCAAAATGGTCCTGTAATGCGCCGTCGCTCGCGGACGCACCTTCCCAGCCTTCGCCGCCCCGCGACAAGCCACCAGAGATCCGCTACTCTGCACCAGATTCACCACGACGTTCACGTTGTTGAGCCCATAGCCGAACCCAAGTTCTCCTTCGATCAATACAACTTTCCCGACCCAGAAGCCACCCCACGACCACCCAAGGAAGGCAACAAAGACGAGACGTCGCCCAAGGCCGAAACAAAAGCATCAGCCAAGTGGACGTCTTTTTTTCACTCTCGCAGGGCCAATGTTATTTCGCGAAGCACTCCCGATCGCTTAATTGACCGCAGCCCCAGCACCAGATCGTCAACGACGACTCAACGCATCTTGGTACCCGGCGAAGACGCGCATAATATATATTTAATCCGTGGTGCTATGCTCGGCGACGCTGCTGTCCCTCAATCGTCTAACGAGACGCCGACAACTGACGAAGTGACGAGGGACATTGAAGATTTGAAAGACGAAGCCACTACGCAGAAAGAGACCTCAAAGGAAAACGAAAACGAAAACGATCAAGATACCCCTTCGACGCCAGGAGACACGCCGACGAAGCGCACGCGGCGGTCCATGATGCATTTCACCTCACCGAACTGGGTGCAGCGGGCGGGTAGCATTCGGCGTTCAAAGCGCGGGGAATCAAAAGGTGGGAACAAGCGGCATGTGTCTGCACCTGCGACGACAACCCCTGGTCACACCCAAGACGACCTCGACCTCGCTGCGCCTGCTGCAGACAACACCTCCCCGGCGCAAAACAATCAGCCAGCCACCGACTCGGACCCCGCAACCGCCACTCACCTCCAGCCGCGCAGTCGCAACACTTCGTCGCCCTTGCCGCCTCTTTCGCGTCTTTCTAGTTTCAACGTCGACGTGTCCCGACTTGGCTCATCGGGAGGCCCCGTGCCTTCGCCGCGTTCTACTCAGCCGTCCGGTAGTTCTCAGAGCTCCGCGGCTCTCGCTGCTTACTATCGCAGCGCTGGAACCGATCGAAGCTCGACCATGAACAGTTCCGATCTGGAGGCGAGAGACTTCATCTTAGGCGACGATGACGACACAGATTTCAAGAGTGACACAATGTTTGACTCTCTGCGCACAGCAGCGTCTGCCATCAACCGCTTGGAGACTCCGACAGAATCCATGTTCGACGAATCTCCACCAGGAACTGCCGTCGCCACCAAAACCAAGCGATTATCTATCCAGGAAATTCTAGGCCATTCCTGGGATGTTGATGACAGGATCATGGAGGAGGATGAGAGCATCCCGACGCCAGTTCGTGTCAATCACGAACCCAGAATACGCCCGGATTCAGATGTCATGGTGCCGCGCTACAGTATCGAGCGCCCATCCAACGAATATTCCCTCGGGAGCAAGGATTTTGGTCGTCTGTCACTAGAGGATGATTTCGATGATGACTGGGCTCGCGACGAGGATGAGATGGCATACAGTAATCAGCTATCCCCTCCAAGCTCCATGAACTCGCGCGGCGTCAGCCCTAATTTGCGCATGGCTCTCGCTAGCATTAGCGGCAACGGCAATGTTGACACCGGAAATGACGTTAGCGAGAGGCCCCGGAGCAACATCTTCGACTGGAGTGAACCAAACAACGACAAAGCCGACAATGGCAGCTCATTCCGCCCGAAAACTGCCTACGGCAAAGGTCTCGATATCAGAGGTGGCCGTACGGCCATCCGGAAAGGACCCACTGCGATGCATGTTCGCAGTCAAAGTGTACCCGTTGTTCACGACGCTGCCGAGACAGCCTCGATAGCATCTCAAAAGTTCGGAACCTGGGGCCTGGGCACGAAGACCGTCAGCGAAGACTGGGACGATGACTTTGAATTTGGCGGCAACGAGTCAGAGGATAAAGACACCGACAGCGCATTCGGTATGGTGGTGCCCGCCTCTATCCAGGCGTCTCAACCGAGTCTGAAGCAGCATTCCGGTCACATCCGGGAGTTCTCTCTGCTTGTCAATGATCTTAAGCGTCTATGTCGCCATGGCAAAGACTTGGACATGCTCGGCGGTCTCAACGCTGGTCTCTGGGAAGAAGCTGAGGGTATCATCGCCCTGGCATCTCCCGATGAGGATGAGCTGGAGGGGATGGATGTCGACTCATCGTCCGTGATGAGTGAGCGATTCATGGAAGGATTCGATGCCGCATCACCCGCTCCTATCGAAAAAGAAGACCCATTTGACGAAGTCCACGAGATCAACGTTTCCAAGACTGCCGTTATTCGCGAACGACCCGCCGGCCGTCGCCGCTCTGTTTTCTCTCCTGATGACGACATATTTGGCGGGAACAGCCCGGCTCCCGATGACCTCCCTCCCCCCCGTCCGAAAACGCCCGAGAACAACATCAACATGGGAGGACACGATGTCACGGACATCGTTAGATCCGTGCTTGATGCCATGCAGCAACGGACTGCTGCAGAGCCAGCCCGCGATGATAAGCTTCACTTCGGCACGAACAGCCTGAAAGCTCTCGTCAAGCGGGCTGGTGATCTGCGGGACACCCTATCAGAAGTTGTGCGCCGCGCAGATCAGTTGACCTCCAGCCCTGCGCGAACGCCTCGGCAACATAGTGACAGTCCGGCTTTCACCAGGGTGTTTACCCCGGAGCACACACCGTCCCCATCGAGCCCGCCCAAGAAGCTCCCTCACAGTCGGAGCACAAACTCGGTTCTCAGCCGGGGATCTGTTGATGCATCGCCATCAAGTGGTCTGCAACGCATGCAGATGATGACTGTCAGCTGAGGTTACATACTATCAGATGTCAACCAATGACATCGAACCTCTGGATGAAGTGACATGATCCTCATCCGTCCAAGGCTACATATAAAAGCTCTGTACATGTACGAATATTGTCGATTTTTCTTGTCTGCATAGCGACGGCTAGGGGTTTCTTCGGTTCTTGGTCTTTTCTATTTTTCCTGTTCATCGCTGCGACATACAACATAAAGAAGACTCGGCCACCCTTATCCATTCGACCGACAGGTACGGATTTCGCGCCGACCCGCAACTTGGCAAAGCCACTCATGGTCCAGCAAATAATTTGCCTCAGGCTCAACCCGTTGAAGGCTAGAGTTGACGTCCTCCAACACTTTTATTTTCCTTGCCCACGAACACATCTCTGACGACGACGTTAATCATGTGCGATCTCGCCAGGCGAATCCGAAGCTTCGGGGCGTGTACCCCAGAGGAGGATAACTGCCACCTGGTGCTGACATGGAGGAATGACACGACGGTCATGTGAAGAAGGCAAGGGAATGAAGCGGAGTGGTCGAGTGGAAACGGGCAAACGCAAAGTGCGCGAGCCTCGCAGAAAACCGCATCGCCATTTGACAGAGGCTTTCATCCTCTCCGAGCCCTTTCCCTATATTGAGACGTTCTGGCTCTGGCATTGTACAATGGGTAGACAAGCAGGAAAATCAACAAAAAAGAGATACTTTGGCTGTTGGTTGGTCTGCTACATTTTCTTCAATTCCTTCCTATCCTGCTGAGCACATAGTGGACGGAGATGACCTTGCCTGCCTCCTCTGTTTCATGGCGGCAAGCCTTTCTCTTTTTGAGACATTTCTTGGGCGTGTCAGGCCCTCGAGTCGGATAACGTTCTGTTTCTTTGGCACTCATGAAGAAAGATTGCACCCCTACGCACGAAGACGCGTCTCTGCCAGGACGGAGGAACATCTCTAGATCGCGTCAAAAGCCGAAAAGACGTTAGGTGGGGGGTTACGGTCAAAAATTAATACAATGGTTTTACGGAAAAGGAATGGGATACGTACGGGATTGGTTTCTTAAAAAAAAGGTTGGACTGGACGAACTGAATAGTAGAAGGGAAGGTTTGCTAGCGGGTAGGGTTTACACATAGGTAGCTTCTCCATAAATGCATTATCGGCCTTCAGGTTTTGACACCAAGCGACTTCACCTGCCCAATGGATCTCTCCATCTCTCTCATCACGGTCTAAGTCACGTCTGCAGCCGAGAATAATTGTCACGTTAAATAGTACGCCGTGCAGTGCACTTAAAGACCGGAACCTTCTAGCAGTTGTCTTGCCAGTCGGGCTGACGCAGATGAACATTCTGAATTTTTATTCCTAGTGATACATGAGATGAAGCATTCCTCGTTTCCCGCCCGATCGGACTGAGAAAAAAAACCAAAAAAAACCCGAGGAAAGTGAGATGAAGAGATTGGATAGGCTCCGAGAAGCCACATTAGGGGGTACGATACGGTGTTCTCGTTTCCTGCGACTGGTGGGGGAGACACCACCAGCACGAGTTGCCGGATGATACGCGCGATACAATCTGTATAGAAGGCAGGGGGTATATCCAGGAGTAGGAGCCTGAAGCCTGAAGAGCAGAGACGAGATATTTGGAAAATGAAAGACAAGGGAAAACACACACATGTTTCGTGTGCGTATGGTATGTATGAGTGCAGTTCAATCCGACAAATCAATCGCTGTTATTTTTTCTTCGGATCCTTTTTTGATCTTCGTACATCATCACGCTGAAACCATGGACCACCTGTTCACTTTTCCTCTTTCCCAATATCCACATCCCAAGATAGCAGTAGTAGATATCCAGCAGAAGATCGCCCCTCCGTGCGCCGAGTTGTTTGTGTGTGCGTTGGTTCAGTAGCGGAAAGCAACCTAGGAGGCGGGCTTGGACGGGACACCCGCGATCCAGTTGTGGCCACCGCCGAGGGGCACGACGCGCTGAAGCTCCTCGCCATAGAAGCGGTTCCACATGGAGTGGCCCACGAAACTCACAGCATCGGGGGTAGCCCGTGTCTGGGTACGCTTAAGTCGCAGGTAACGGGACTCAGAATCCTCGGGGGTCAGTGGCGCGGCATCGTAGGCGTGCAGCGCCGGCTTCGTGGGAGCAATCCACATGATGCCGTTGTCTTTGGGAACGATGACCTTTGGAGCCGACCACATGGGAACGATGGGTGTTGTAGGCGCGGACTGCGTCCACATGGAGTGGCCCTCGAAGTTGACGAGGCCGGTGGCGCGGGTCTGGGTCTTGGTTCGCTTGAGACGCAACTCGCGAGATTCGGAGTCCTCGGGCGTCAGGGGAGTAACGTCGAAAGAGTGACGGAAAGGCTTCGCGGGCAGAGTCCACATTTTTCTGTTTTCCTCCGGAGTTGTCACCTCGGTCGCGGACCACAGAGATGGGGAATTTGTGCTCATGGGCAAGGGAGACGGCGTAGGCTCGGACTCGGGCTCCGGGTCATACTCAGACTCGGTATCGGCCTCTTGCGCAGGCTGTACGTACTGCGTCGGTTGGAGGAAGATCTCGGGCTCGGCTCGCTGCTCGAATTGCGGCTCGGCGGGCTGCTCATATTGCTCCTCGTACTGTGTCTCATACTGAGGCTCGAACTGTTGCTGCTGGTAGTATTGCTGCTGCTGATACATCTGTTGCTCGAGCAGTCTCTGATTGTATTGCTGCTGCTCGAAAAGACGTTGCTCGTACTGCTGTTGCTCGTACAAGCGTCGCTCATACTCCTGCTGCTCGAACTGTTGTTGCTCGTATGCCTGCTGCTCGAGTTGTTGCTGCTCGTAGTACGGCTGCTGCTCAAATTCAGGCTGCTCGGCATACGGTTGTTGTTCAAAGTTGAACTGCTCAACGAATCGAGGCTGCTCGACCTCTTGCTCGAAGGACGCTTCGACAGGGTGGGCGGATGCAGTGATAGCCTCATTCAAAGCTTCCTGCCACTGCGCAGGGCTAGCCTCGTTACGGGTGAGTGTAGCCGGGGTCGCAGAGGCAGAGATGGCCTCGTTCAGAGCGTCAACCCATTCGGCAGGGCTAGCAACGGTTCGGACAAGAGGAGCCGAAGTTGACGTTTCTCCGATAGCCTCGTTCAGTGCAGCTTCCCAGTCCGCGGGGCTAGCTTCAGTACGGCGAAGTAGTTCCTGGGGCTTGTCGGATTCGTTCTCCCACCAGGTGGGTTTCTTCACAGGCACCTCCGGGAGCGGTTCGAAGTCGGACACGGCTTCCGTTACAACTGACCGCGTTGAAGCGGTGTCCAGGCTGGGTGTTGATCGGCCAGATGAGCCGGCATTAGAAGGTGAGCTGGGCTTTGCTGAAGCGACGGAGATCCAATCGTGTTCAAGAGGCTTGGTGGGGGAGGCCACCCAAAGGCTGGTGGAAGTGAGGGAAAGAAGAGCTTCAAAGCTCACACGTGCCGCCGAAGACATGCTTACACCAATGGGCGAGGCAGAAGTAGTCTTGAAAGTTGTGCGCTTTTGACCGGCGTCGAAGAGTCCCTCGTATACCACCTCGACAATGGCGGCGGGGGCAAGCCAGAGAGACTTCGCTGGTGTCCGTGGCGATGTCCAGAGGCTGTTTGAGGTGAGAGTAGGGAGTGCCTCAACAGTAGCGCGAGCGGTCGAGGACATGGTCAGGCCAACGGGAGACGCAGAAGTTGTCCTGAAGGTGATGCGCTTGTAGTCAACGTTGAAGAGACCCGTGGCATCTGTCTCGGCGATTGTAGGAGAAGGGGCCCATAAGCTCTCCATGATCTGAGGCTTGCCCACCGGCATCGCCATTGTCTTGAGCTGCGGTCGAGTCCAGAGGGTGCCGCTGTTCGATGTATCGACGAGCTTCAGAGGAGCGATCCAGAGTTTGGTGCTGTGGATGATTGCAGGTTCAAGGAGCTGAGTCTGGACACGAGGAGGAGCGTTCATCGTATCCATATACGCTGTCCAAGTTCGTGCGTCAGGCTGCGGCAGCCCTGGTGGGAGACGGACACTAACGAAACGCTTTGGCTTCCCGGTCCAAAGCAGGGACGACGTCTTGGGCGACGGCCGCACTTCTTCGGCAGCGACAGTAATAACCATGGAGTCATGCTTGGTATCGTCTTCGTCATTGGCCGCCTTCTCGTCCTCGGAGGGATACTCAGAGGAACCCTGGGAAACGTACTCATCCTCAACGAGAGAGTCGGGACGGTAGTATTGCGGCTGGGGAAGCAGGCTGTTCTTGGAGGGAACTTGGTCCGACTGCAATAGACTGGCAATCTCCCACAGCGTGGTCTCATCGAAACCGTCGTCACTCTCATCATCCTCGTCAATGTCCGACACCTCATCGTCGCCCTCCTCTTCCTCATCGTAGTCGTCGAAGAACGAGGAAGAGTATTCCTGAGCCTGGAGCTGTTGCGCGCGAGCCTCCAGAGCCGCGCGGACTGCTGATCCTCCGGTGGACATGGTACCAGGCATGGCCATGAACATTTGGCGGGGTCGCGGTTGGACAGTCGCAGTATCTGACTTCTCGCCCCAAGGGAACTGGAAGATGCCAAGAGTGCCGCGCTTGTCTGGAAGCGGCTCGGGGTTCTCAAGAATATCAGGAAGGGCGGTGATGCGCTTGCTCCGTCTTGGGGGTCGCTGTGTGAGGGGACGAGCCTGGGTCTTGGGAGGCTCAGCAACAAACGAAGCTCGCCAGAGGGACTTGGTGAAAGAGTTGCGCAACTTTTTAGCAGCAGTGTGATCCGACTGCCACAATTGGAAGCTCTCGATAACTAGAGGCTCGGAGGTCTTGCGCGCGACAGGACGGACTGAGAGTCCAGGAAGCACGATGGCGGCTTGTCCGCTTTGAGTGGGCTCGCTCGTAACATCGCGGGTCGGGGCCCAGAGCAGCGCTGGTTCGCGCTCAGAAGATAGCGGCGAGACGGGTGCCCAAAGATGTCCCTCAGGTGCAGCTCGCTCCTTCGGCATGAGCGTCGCGAGAATCTGAGCGTCGACGCCCTCGGACTCGGACTCGTC